TTCAAAAAAAAAAAAAAAAAAGAAAAGAAAAGAAAAAGAAATCATACACCATCACCATCACATCGCATCAGGGCTGACAGTCACTAGAGAGTTCACGGTAGATACATTTCAACTTTATCGACGGCAATGACCCGCTCGACCGACACACACTGGCTCATGGATTCGGTCATAACCATCACGTCACGGCAGAGGTGACAGGTCCTGGATACTGGATATAGAGGCGTTGACGGGAAATGAATTACACGGGGCGTATTCGTTTAGTTTCTGGTTTCTAGCTTCTTTTCTTCTTGCCCTTCTTATCGACTTCCTGCTGAATACCCAAGACAAACGCCGGGACAGCGGCAGTTTCTTTCTCGCTTAGACTCTCCTATCGGCATACAAATAGATACATCTTCCAACTCTTTCTAACCGTTAAGCCCACCGTTTGAACTAGCAATGAAGTAATATAGAATTCAATCAACTAGATAAAGTCATGTGATTGATTGTGCATGGGATAGCACAGGAAAGATTTCCCGGAATGGGATCGCAGCAAGAAAGAGCAAAATTGAAGAAACTTTTAAATAAATATAGAATAGAATATAGAATATAGATATAAAATATATAAAAAAAGATATATAAAAAATAATATATATATATATATATATATACATAATAAAAATCAAGTGCATGGGGTGAACCGGGATCGAACCGGTGACCTTCAGATTATTCTTTGATTGAAGTTTGAACTTCAGTCTGACGCGCTCCCAACTACGCCACCGCCCCAGTCTGTGCGCGTGTGTGTGTGCCTGAGTGGCTCTCCCAACCGAGGAGATAACCATGCGCATTTGCATACTACCAGATCCCCGGCGATGCGCCGCAGCAGAGCAACGGCAATAACTGCATCAACAGCAACGAGTCTCTTCCCCCCGACTTTCTAAGATTCGACATTTCCCACCATCCCTTCCTCAGACCACTTCCGCCTCCACCGCTCGTCACCGCCATGGCGCACTCGGACAGCCGTCAACCACAACACACCACATACGCCCAGGCAGCTGCATCCTCCCTAGGGGAAAACGCCAGGATAGGTCCTCACCCAGGCCACATAAAGAGTTCGACCCAATACACTGCGGCGACGGCGACGACGACGGCGGCGGCGGCAGCGACGACGTCGAGCCACAGCAATGGCAGCTACAACGGAAACAGTGGAGATCACGCACCGGCAGCAGCATCGGAGGCGACGCCAGACGTCCACCGAATCCAGGCCGTGCAGTTAATCGACAGCGTGAGACAGCAGCTCCGCCTACCGGTACGGACCTTCGACACCGCATGCGTCTACTACCACCACTTCCGTCTGCGGCAGGCAGACTGCGGCGGCGCCGGGGCGAGCTACCAGGATTCCGCCCTGGCCTCCCTCTTCGTCGCCTGCAAGGTCGAGGACACCATCAAGAAGTCCAAGGAGATTCTGGCGGCCGCGTATACCGTTCGGAACGAGGGGAAGCATGTCACGCCTGACGACAAGGTATGAACGAACCCCCTCTCTGGAGGATTTTCTCCTCTCTCCGAGCCTCCCTCTCTCCGAGCCTCCCTCTCTCCCTCTCCCCTACAGTATCTCTTCCCTCCCAATATCCTATAGACTGACAATGTGGACCAAAATTTTTATTTTTTATTTTTTTTTAAAAAAAAAAGATGTTTGAAGCACCCGGGAAGATCATCATTGGCCTAGAACGGCTGATCCTCGAGACGATTGGCTTCGACTTCCGGACGCGATACCCCCAAAAGATGCTGGTCAAGGTCCTGCGAGAGATCATCCCCCGGGACCAGACTGCCTCTGCCTCTGCCTCTGTCCCTCCCGACCAGACGCCGGAAATCTTCTCGACGGCCTACGCCATGACGATAGACATGTACAAGACGCTCGTGCCCATCAAGCGCACAACATTCTCCATGGTCATGGCCGTCACCGAGCTCACCCTCCGACTTCTCAAACTCTTTCCTCCTCCTCCTCCTCCTTCCTCGGCCTCGAACGCCGACCCTCCCTCAGAACCCGACTCCGACCCGCTCACATCCTTCACCCGCCGCAAACGCCAATTCTACAGCCGTCCAGCCGTCCTGTCCACCATGCTCGACCTGCTAGACCTGTACATCCAGCACCTAAAGTCCACCAAGCTCGGCCCGCGCCTCGACCTCTCCCTCCTGATGCACGTCAAGATCCAGCTCAACGGCGAGTCCCACCACCTACCTCAACCCCCTGCCCCGCTCCCGTGCACCAAGTGCGCCGAGCAGCAGCACCATCGCTCCCCCACGCCGACTCAGGACCCGGCCATGCGCTTCGTCTTCGACCCTGAGGCCGCCGCCCGCGAGAGGGACATGGTGGCGGCCTACTTCTCCCAGGAATTCGAGGACGTAGAGGTCGAGGTGGACGAGGATATACCCCCGCCTCCTATCCCCCCCATCTCTAACCGCGGCGGAGGTGCGCCCAGACCGAGGTGGGACGATAGGGATGGTCCCCCCCCTCCTCGTCCTCCTCCCGCAGCTGGCGGTGGTGGCGGCAGAGGCAGAGGCCGGAGGTGGCGTGAACGCGGCGGTGGTGATAATCGTTGGGGAGGTCCGTACGGTGGTGGTGGCGGTGGTACCGGGGGGTATCGTGGAGATCGTAGGGGGAGAGGCAGATACCGCTAAGAGACACGCGGCAACCGAGCCATACTTGATATACCCTTTGTTGAATATCCATGCAGACACGATCATCTCTCCCGGGGGGCCCTGCCGGGGGCTTTTCTCGCTACCTTCCTACTTCGCACTATGTCTCACATTGCATTCAATGCTCATACAACCGTCACTGTCCCTCCGAGGGGGTTTCCTGTCCCGAGCGCCTCCTCGCACCGCTGGCTGACGTGGCATGGCATACAGAACGAGACGCCAACCCGTCCATTCAACTAATTCTGCTAATACAAGGAAGACCAGAGGAGGAAAAGAGAAGAAGAAAGGAATATGTAGGATAAGGTAGCGAAGAAAGGTATATAAGAAATAATGATAAGATGTAAAAAGAGTACTCTACATACACCAGACACACAAGAAAGTCGTTATAAAGAAAAAGAGACTTGGAAAGAAACAAAGAGGCCATGTGATTTTGACGGGAGCCCCCCAAAGAAACATTGTCATCTCCCTACCTATCTTCCTCCCATTTGCTCATCCATTTCCTTGGGGAGTCAAGTCCTCTCTCTCCATTGTAGGGATACAAATAAAAAAAAGTATATATGAAACAACATAAAAAACATTTGCTCTGCTCGCCGACCTCAAATCAGGTCCAAGTATAAAAATAGAAAAGAGTATAATTGTATAAAAGGGACCGACAAGCGTCTCGTAAGCCAAAAAAACTGACACCAGACATCGTGGCGGTAAAGAATGGGTTGAATAGCGTGCAGGGAGGAAACACGGTCCCCTCTCATAAGGACACCGAAACCAGCCGTGCCCATCGTGACCTACGTCAACTGAGTCTTGGTCCGTCTCGGTGGTGGCTTGCGAGAGGCCTAGCTAGTTTTTTTGTTTTTGTTTTTTTGCGAAACCAGTTTTTATATTGTTCCTCCCGCAAGGGTATCGAAGGATAATTAAAAGAGAAAAAAAGGACAATACAGAAGGAAAAAGGGAAAGCGGTGCAAGAGATTGGATTCGAAACATGTTTCTCGAAAGGTTTTATAAGAGCTTCTTTTTCCTGTATTCTTTCCAAAGAGGTGTTTGTTCGGTCTTGGGACGGAGGGGGGGGGGGATGAGGCGTGGGAGCGTGGTTGGTGGTGAGGACTGTTAAGACGTAGCATCCATGGTCATCTAGTTCCATCCTAGAGAGTTCTCCGTCGCGATAGGAGCCGAGATGTTGGCGGTGCGAGCCGAGTGCCCGTTACTGTTCTGACTCGTACGTCCGTTGGCGCCGTACGTCGAAGCACTCTGGGGGTTCAGAGCACCGCCCATCAGAGCAGGGCTGCCGTTTCCATTGAACCTCATATCCGACGAGGCGTCGCTACCCGTGACAGAGCTTGTGCGGCGGTGAGCCTGGCGCTTGCGCTTGTAGCGGCGAGCCACGATGAACATGGCCGCACCGTACATGACACTCAGACCCAGCGCACCGACGGCGATACCAGCCGTGGTGGCCTGCTGCTTCGACGACGACTTGTTATCGCTACCCGTGTCCAGGGCGTCGTTGCTGCCGTTGTCAACATCGGATCCGTCGGTTCCGCCGTTGTTGTTGTTGTTCTCACTGTTGCTGCCGATGATGTTGCCCCAGATGTCGACGTTGGGATTGATATCCTTGGTCAGCTCGCGCACCAGCACCTTCGGGTCGTTGTACAGGTCCGAGTTGGGCTGCTGGAGATCGACGGTGAGCTGGTCGACCTTGCTCTTGGGGTAGTAGACCTTGGCAATCGTCGTCACGTAGCCCCACTCCTTGCGCGTGTCGTACGGCACCAGCATGGTGACCTGGACCTTGTCCGTCGTGAAGCCGCCGGCGTAGGCCAGGGCCATGGGCAGGTAGGTGAAGATCTGGGCGGCGGCCACCGTGTTCTTGGCGACGTGGTTGTAGTTGAGGAAGTAGTCGAAGGCGATCTGGATCTCGGTGGTATCCTCCGGCTGCTCCTTGTCGGGGTTGTTGGGCAGGATGACCTGGGGGATGTCGGTGGGCAGAGGCTCGGGCTCGGTGTTGGTCGGCACAGCCGTGGGGGGCGTGTAGGTGAACGACGTAGAGTCAGCCACGATGCTGGTGGGGAGCCAGTCATCCGTGTTGGAGAAGGTGGCCGTGGGCCTGATGCTCGTCACGGTGGACTTGGTCGCCTCCTCGGTGGTCGAAGTGCTTGGGACCGGAATGGGCGTGAGCGTGTCCGAAGACGTCGAGATGACGGTAGGCGTCTCACTCGAGACAGGGAGTGTGCTGGTCGGGGTGACGACGGACTGAGGTGACGACGACAGGGTGATGGAGGGTGTAGCAGAGGGGCTCGACGAGGGCAGAGGCGTGTTGGGGATCTGCGTAGAGGGCGACGACGAGGGCGATGACGAGGGCGACGACGAGGGCAGAGGCGTGTTGGGGATCTGCGTAGAGGGCGACGACGAGGGCGAGAGCGTCGAACTGGGCAAAGTGGGCGTCACGACACCGCTGGACGGCGAGCTGGTGAGGCTGGGGCTGCTCGTGGCAGAGACGGTGCTGGGGGTCTCGCTGAAGCTGGTGATGGGGGTCTCGCTCAAGCTGGTGCTGGGGGTCTCGCTCAAGCTGGTGCTGGGGGTCTCGCTCAAGCTGGTGCTGGGAGACTCGCTGAAGATAGTACTCGAGATGGGCGTGGTCGGAGTGCCAGATGGAGAGGTCGAGTCGGTGGCCGAGCTAATGGGCGACGTCGCCTGGGTGCCACTGGGCGTCGTCTCGGTCGACTGACCGACCGAGGTGGGTGAGGCCGACGTCAGCAGATCGCTGGTCGATGTGGGCGTAGCGGTCGTCGACGAGTTAGCAGTGGGGGCGTCGCTGAGAATTTCGCTGATGAGGGTGGGCAGCGGGTCAAGGAGACCACCAGCCGACGTCGTCTCCGAAGGGGTGGCGGCGGCAGTGGTGGCGTTGGCGTTGGCGGAAGCAGCCTCGGCAGAGCTGGTGGCACTGGCGGGCGTGGTGGGGGTCGAGTCCTGGGTAGTGTCACTGGCAGTGTCGCTCGGTGTTCCGGCAACGGTGTCAGAGCTGGTCGCGCTTGCGGACGTCGCGGTGGTCGACGCATCAGAAGACACTGTCGAGCCCTCGTCGGTGGTAGTGTCCAGGGCAGTGGTAGACTGTTCGGTGGTGCTGTCGGTGGTTGTCGCGACGTCGGTGGCGGTCGCGCTGCCAGTGGCAGTCGTGCTGTCGGTCGTGGTTGAAGTCCCGTTGACCTTGGCAGAGGAGGCGTCGGCAGTCGTGGTGTCGATCAGTCCAGGGATAACGATGCCGGTAGGCGCAATCACGATGGAATCGTCGGAAGAAGACCACTCGATCGTGCCGGGGGTTGTGGGGGTACCGGTGCTGCTGCTGCCGGTACCGAACAGGTCGCTGAACAGGTCCCGCTTGGCCGCGTCATTGTCGCTGTTGTACTGGCGCTTGACCTCGCGAGGATAGTAGATGCGCGGATGAATGGCGTCTGCTGCCACGGTGGAGACGGAGAAGGCAAAGGCCACGGCCAGAGCCAACGACTTGGAGTGCATGGCGGTTGAGTTGTATTTTGGTGATGTACAAAAGCGAATGTGGGTGCCTCGACTAAAGGCCTGGCGAACGAGTGTGCGACGAGTCGTCTAGGAAACGAGCGAAGTGAAATCTGCCGTGCAACATGCGTCAGTAACCAAGGTCGTGGCAGGCAGGGAGTCCATCCAAAGACGAATACCGGGCAAACCAATCCAGAGCCAGAATCGGGCCAACGCACATTTCACAAGAGAGTGTGTTATATGAATAATGCAACAATATAGGTGGAGATAAATGAGCGACTTGACGAGAAACCGTCGAGAGTTGTTTTGTCGACGATTCGTCAAAAGCGAGCAATCGGATGCGAATGGATCGTGGTAATCGTAAGGTAACTCGGATGGTAGATGTCGAAAAGAGATTCCGTCGTCAACCAAACATTAAATATGGCGAGATACCCGTCAAACCGGTCTATAGCCCCGTTACATTCGATAGATGCCCGCTGCGGCAGAAAAGAAGTGCAAGTTGAAGGAACGACCGAGAGCAACTCGAGAGACCCGAGTACGTCGATCAAGGAGAAAGAACAACAACAACGGCACCTACGCGAGGGAGGATCTTGTCAGTATGCTCGACGGGTTGGCATCGAGAGAAGGAGGGGAGAGGGAGAAGGAGAGGGAAAAGAGCAAGAAGGGAGGAGGAGAGAGGAACTGGCAAGCATGTGTGTGACCAGTTGGGATCGGGCTTGTGGGGGGGGGCATACAAGGTGTGACAGACCAGTTGCTAAGATTTATTAATGCCGTAACATGGGCAAGGCGAAAGGCCAAAAAAAAAGAGCGGATAGGCAAGAAAAACAAGCCAAAATGGAAACAGATTGAGAAGTGAGAGGATAGAAAGGAATGAAAGATGGGGGGGGAAGGAGAAGGGAATGGGAGGGAGAAACAGGTCATGGGCCAAAACGGAGCCAAAGGAGGGAAATGAGCAGAAGAATTGTGTGCTGTTGGAAACACTCGAGCAAACAGGGGGGGTGAGGGGCAGTTGGTGTACTCGTACTACGAGTACAGGGAGTCCGAGGACTTACAGGGGAGCTACAGGTGAGCTACAGGTGAGCTACAGGTGAGCTACAGGGGCATTGGAGATGGTACCTACAGCGTACCTACATATACCGGCGTAGTACCATCAGAGACGGTTAGTCCAAGGGGAGGAAGCCAATGGAGGGACGTCAAAACGCGTTTTATATGGGTAGTGTCGGGATCCTCCTTCCTTGGTCAGGCCTCCAGAGTGGGGTTCAGCATGGGGCGTGTACCGATGAGGTATTTCTCCGTAACGCGAAGTACATATAGAGTAAGTGGGCGTTGGCTGCACCTGCCTCAGCCATGAGCAGTAATTTACGTGATAATACTCCGTACTCTGCCTGTACCCATACGCTGTGGCTGTAGGGAGTGCTCCAGCAGTGTACGAGTACAGCTAGGTAGGCTCGTATTCGTGAGGATGCGTACAAGTACTCGCATGTGCTTGGGGAATCAGGTCAATACGGGATGCTCTTCTCTTTCCCTCTCTCTTTCCTGCTAGCGTATGCACTCAACGAGGATAGTTGCAGCGTGGCTGGTATTCTCTATACGGCGTAGGGTACAGGATGTCATAAAACACAAGTTGCAGAATGGTGCACAAGAGTATTGGCAGCTTAGCTCTTGCCATCCCAGAGACAAGCCGCGAATTGTCAGGCGTAGCCAACCGCCCTGCCGCAGTCCCGGTCATTCCATGCTAGCAAGCAATGTGCCAACGTATGGCTGCTCCGTACGAGACTACGGGTAGACCTACGAGTACAGGCCAGTAGAGGAACGCGTTGCGGGCCTTGGACGACGACGACGACGTGCGAGCCACGACGAGGCGCGCGCGTAGTGGCACAGGGCAGAGAATCCACCAGCAAACATACCAAGAATGCCAAGGTGAAACAACAGCCTCGACGGGCAATGCAATGATACTTGCAAGGGTCAGCCCTCTCCCCTCTCCCCTCTCTCTCTCTCTCTCTCTCTCTCTCTCCTGCAGAAGGAGGAAAGAAGAAGAGACAATATCGTACAGAGTTGCCACCGCAACCCACGCACACACAGACTCGTGCCTTGGTCGCACTACAGGGGTTGTTGGATGACGATGACCAGGGTATACCCAGGTCGCGAGATTGCGTCATGGGGTGTGACATGGGAGGTACAACCTGTACTTGAGAGAGAGGGAAGGGGGTGGGGTGGGGAGGGTGTGTATGGACGTTGAAGAAAATTCTATTGACAATAATCACACTATCGACGCGACAGAAGGGCGACGGGTCAGGAACAGACCGATCCAGGAACAGGTGTTAAGGAGGTACCTGATCCTTCTAGGAGATGCCGTCTACGGATGGGGACAGATCACGGTACCCCTCCTACCACTCACTGTCGGGAGTCGCCAGGGCTAGAAGGGGGTGCGGCGGCGGGACGGGTAAATTAAGGAATAATATTACTGCATTGTTTAGTGGCTGAGCGCGATTGGGTCGCCGTCGGACCGTACACAAGGTGCAGAGTATTACTATTATTATTATTGTTATTATTATCGTCACCAAAGACCCCAAGAGGAGCGACTGTCAGTGTTTGGGATAAGAATCAAATTGCCTGCTGCTGTAATGCTGCAAGCCCACCAGCATCTGGAGACGATGTTACTGTATATGTACGATAATACCGCCCCCCCCATCTCGGACTCACTACAAGTAACTGTGCAGGATTGGTACGCACAGAGTTGCGATATGCACAGATTGGCAGGCGCAGAAAAGTTTGATTGCGGCATACATAATCTCCGTTGGTACCTGCTTTAACGCCCTTTAGCACGCTTTAGCTGCTTAGCACACTTTTTCCCCCAGGCTCTTGGCTTTGCGGGCTTTCATCCATCCATCCTCTAACCGTCAGGCCCTAGATCTGTACCGCCCTAGCCTACTAGCCTACTAACCTCTGCATCTAATCTGTACAGGTTACAGGTTGTCGAGTAATAGAGTCTATCCGCCCTCGTTATGGACGGGTACTCTCATACTTGGCCGTTCTCGTAGAAGTCCTGTAGGGATCCTGTAAGAGGGAGGGGGGGTTGAGTTGATGGCCCCATCATCAGTCGCCATGGCCGCCTGAGCAGAGATTGCTATGAGTTGTCATCACTTCGATCCATGTCTTTTGCGAGGGATGAGATGATGCTGGCACTCACATTGCTACATAGGTACGAGTAATACTGTACAGAATATCCCTACTAGTAATCTGTACAGATTACGAGCAGTGCAGATTACATCTACAGCCCTTACTTCACGTGTACTTGTGCTCCTGGGATATGGTATTAATTTCTCTGTATTCGTACGTGTACTCGTAATATCACGCCGATCGCGAATGCAGCCCCCATCGGTCCGCCACAACCATGACGAGGCTTGGACTTTGGACTTTAGCGTTGTCTTTGCATGAAGATGCTACGTAGCAGGTATCACTACATATGGGCTCGGGTACACTCTCTACTGTAATCTGTACATACAGATCATACGTCCACAGGCTACAGATTGCATACGACCGTGTGCGGGTACTCGTGCCGATACACGCGACTATGTATACCAAACTGAGTTAACACTGATCTCTGATCTCTTGCTCTTCGTCATAACTGTAGTTGTCGCCCCTCGGACCTTGATGCGAGCAGCATCGTTGTACTTGTAGAATATCGTCTACGACCTACGGATTACATGCACCGGCCATCCACGTGGCATCGGGTATTACGAGTGAACGCGCCATCATCATGAGAGCAGAGAAGAGGGATAGAGGGATGGTGCGAGATGAGGGCATGTGGTAGGTCCTACGAGCAGAGCCGACACGTTATCAGCTTGTGAGTAAAACTATCAACTGACCATACCATCAGTATTGCTGCTGTACTCCCGTACCGTCCGTCCCCACCGGCCTTTGTCTCGGCTCGGGAGTGTCTTTCATCTTCCTTCACCCTTCCGAGGTCCTAGCCAGTAAATACTACGAGTGATACAGACTGCTGCTGCTACTGGTAAGAGACACACGCACAGCCTGTTCGTCTCGAAAAGTCTCGCTCTCATGCAACGGTCCGTCCGTGATCACATTCCAATGACCGAGCCGTTCAGCCATGTTCAAGACGGAAACACGCCACCAGCCTTCTTCTGACTTGTTCTCTACCGCGTATAACATAATAATGCTACAAGGTGTCGATGGATGGTTCCATCACCTCCTTACTCGTACATGTACATGCCGGGATTCATCGTGTACATGTACTGCGGATAGCATTACCGCTTCACTGCCATAATAGCACTATGCAGATAGTAAAAGCATCTTCATCCCAAAAAAGTACGGAGCAAGAATCAATAATGATGACAGCAGCGATATTGATAGTGATGATGATGATGATAATAATAATAATAATAATAATAATAATAAAGCCAGAACTTCTTCGTATTATTATTATTATTACCCGCTCTACCACACGAGCACCGTAAACGATAGGAGACACATTTCCCCTTAGTCCTTACGGCCATATTAATGCTACCCGCATCTGTGTACAGATTACTCCGTACAAGTACTCGTACTGCTAAATCCCTCTTGCCAAGGTCCCATCCCCATCTAACACTTGCCCSCCCCCAATCYCCSKMCMCGCGTGCCCGGGCCCSCCCCCCCCCCCCCTCCTCACCCCTGAAACCTAACACCCTGTCTTGGTCCTGGGTCCCGGGTCCATTGGTCACAATCCATCGAATTACATATTTCTCCGTCGATACTCCGTAGTATCGCTCGTACTAGTAACATGCACGGCTAGATTGCCAATTGATGCTCGCGCAAGGCCTAAAGGAGAGATCACACCTCCATATGTTCTGTACCTGTACCTGTACTAGTAGTCGTAGGCTTTCTCCCTCTCCTGACGCCAAGGTACACCTGACCGACCACCATGGTAGGAGCACATCCATATACTATTAGTACAATTTATCAAGTATTAACCCAACCTCAGGTTTTTTTTTCTTTTCCAGCCCTCAGCCGATCCTAGGCAAGACGAGAGAAAAAGGTATAGGGTAACCAGACTGGAGCATGTGAATCACGGATGAGAAGCACCGACATGTTCGTAGGCTTCGAACTCTCTACTACCTAATACTTACTATCTGTACCTGTAGAAATACTGGTATCACGCTGTACAGGTAATATACTAGTACAGTTGGGCAATTGCAAAGCAAGCTCAAAGATCCTGTCTTCGTTGTATAATACGGCGTATCCGATAGAAACTTTCTTCACTCACCTGAACCACGAACACCGCCAGTTGGACCAAGGACACCCACCGGTGACCCAAGAGAGCGACCTGACCATGGCAATATTGAACCTTGGCAAAGAACTAATCAACTGTTCTGAATGCACCCGGCCCAAACCTCTCCATCAAGATGGAGAAAGCGGTCGTCCTTGAATCGAATCGACATGTTGTCCCTTTCGTATCTTGAAGCGCCGTGAACGCCTCGTATCAGGTCAACAGGTGGCTTCCACCTACGCCGAAACAGTTTCTTCTTTTGCGCAAACGAGGCTGTGCTGAGATATTATAGATCATGTTTGGATATGAGGCTATCGATCAAAGCAATCATTGCTCAAAGCAGAACATCTTTCTTATCTTTTCTCTTTTCTTTTTTTCCTTTGTACCCCGTCAAGCTTGGTTGTCTTGTCGTGATTTTACAAAGGTAGATCTGCTTAGTCATCATCGACACGTGAATAGCTGGATAGAACCACCAGAAGGCAACGGCCAGCAGCATCATGCCACTGTCTCTCTCCCACGATAGGTAGCGAGCACTGTCGGGGCGCCGATGAAACACCTCCTTGTCTGACCATCTGGAGAAGCTTGTTTCTCGTCTCTGCACCTTCCTCCTCTTTTTTCTTCTCCAACTCTTCTAGCTCTCATCTCTGTCGTTTCCTCTTTCTCGGTTCTTGCCCCTCTACGATATCAACACGCACCTCCTCGAGGGCAGAATCAACCATGGCACGAAGTAGACATCTCGCCCTGACTATTCTATTAGCACTGGCCGTGTTCCTGAGCCTATCGTACATGTTCTCGAGTCCGCCGGCTCCCCGCGATGAGCAGGCACTGGGCCTAGATCTCGGACGGACCCCTCCTCCACCAGATACTCCCCCGCCGTCGCCGCCGCCGCCGCCGTCATCATCGGAGCAGGATAAGGAGACATCCGGGGGATTCGTAATGGATTTGGATTCGATACCGCCGGCTATGTTCGAGGGCGATTCTATCGCTCCCAAGCTGGAGAATGCAACTCTAAAGTATGGACTTTTTTCTTCTTCTCTTTCTCTTTTCAAAGCCCACGTTCTTAACATGGGAGAGAGAGAGAGAGAGAAAGAGAGGATGAGAGGAGAGATGTTTTGCTAACGTTCCATCGCAGAGCCGAACTCGGTCGCGCAACCTGGAAATTCATGCATACAATGATGGCTCGATTCCCCGAGAAGCCGAGCGACGACGACCGCCGCACCCTCGACACCTTCATCCACCTCTTCGGCAGGCTGTACCCCTGCGGCGACTGCGCGCGCCACTTCCGCGCCCTGCTGGCCGAGTACCCGCCCCAGACGAGCAGTCGCAACACCGCGGCCGGGTGGCTGTGTTTCGTGCACAACCTGGTCAACGAGAGGTTGGAGAAGCCCGTCTTCGACTGCAACAACCTTGGCGACTTTTACGACTGCGGGTGCGGCGAGGAGGGCAGCCCTGAGAAGTCTGAGCATGCTGCTGGCGCGGCAGCCAAGGCTGAGGAGCTGGATGCCGAACTGCACAGGGGGAAGGAGTAGTAGCGCTGGTCCGGTACTATGTCTCACGATGGGGGTTTTGTAACAGTGTGTGATATAAGCATAGCGTGTATTTTTTTTCTGTATTTTTCTTCTTCTTATAGAAGTAATAGAGGCAAGAAAAAAGAAGATGGGCTGATTTTCATCATATCAGTGTTTCGATATGTCCCATGTACGTGTGTCGAATAACACGAAAGTATTGTTCATGTTGGAGCGTACCTGTGCAGATATTCTTCCTCTGTAATCATATTCCCATGCGCCTTAGACACGGGGTGGAGAGAACAGGTAAGTAAATATTCATAATGCATCGGTGAGCAATGAGGAAGACACGTTTAGAGAATAAAGTCGTCGATAGAATTGTCATGTCATGTTCAGGGTAGTTTGGCGACTGGTGGTGAAGCCCAGTGACGACGTAGACAGTCTAACAGTCATAATCTTTATAGGATAATCACACCATCTCTACTATATATAGCTGCAGTTCAAGCTCAAGAGACTAACCATGTTAGAGATATAGGATTCAGTAAAGAAGTAGAACGAGAAGACAAAAACAAAAACAAAAGACAACTCACCCAGCGTGATGGCATCGTAGACCTCTCAGCAGCGATAAGGATCAGGCGAAGAGTCACGTGCCGATAAGCAAACCGCTCCCCAGCCAAACGGCCTGCGCGTTCCGAGAGCTGCCTGAGCTTTGGCTGGAGCCGCTACGTAGGCTACGTCGTTTGTTTGACCAAGCAAGCTTCCCAACCAACCCACTTTCACTTCTAAAGAAACCGAGGCGTGCACGACGACATCGACGACAGCACCCTGACGATTGACCCCTCCCGTCCGATAATCATACACATATACACACCGATTCCTTCCCTCTTCCCCATCAGCAAATATGGAGTTCGGCCGCAGCGGCGAGTTGACGCCAGGTATGCCAACGGCGAACGGCGGCGGGGGAACGGCGGGGCACATGGATGGACGGACCAGGCTGACCGAAGTTTGTGGTGGGCTAGATGGCATCCACGTCGATATGCATGCTCTCAAGGCAGGCGAGGTTGAGTAGGTTTCGCAACTCCGGGAGACTTGGTATATCATCTTGTGGCTAACTTGTTTTGTGCTTCTAGTCTGGGTACTTCGATGTACGTTGTTCATGATCCTTGTCGCTCCAATGCGCGGGAGGGGGGAGCTGAGGGGCGCGCTGTTACTGATGGATGAATTAATCTAGTATGGCGGTTTCATTCAAGGATGGAGTTATTCTCGGTATGTTTCCCTAGGTGTTGCGATATACACAAGTATATATATGCATGTGCGCGTATGCATACATGTGGCGGCTAACAATGTATCGACTGTCTGATATAGGCGCCGACTCTCGAACGACTACGGGTCCCATCATCGCCAACCGAGTGACGGACAAGCTGACCAAGGTGCACGACCTGGTGTGGTGCTGTCGATCCGGATCCGCCGCTGACACGCAGGCCATTGCCGACATCGTGGCCAGGCACCTCAGCCTCCAGGCTGTCCACCACGGCACCCCGCCTACTACGGGACAGTCTGCTGCCATCTTTTCCGAGATCTGCTACGCCAACAAGGATATGCTTTCGTGAGTGTGTCCTCCATCCAGAGGGAGGAGATGAGCCAGGAGGCAGCGACCGGGAGATGCTGCGGGAGAGAAGGAGAGAGAGGAGAGGGAGAGAGTGTGTGCTGACAGATATACCTCTGTTCCTAGTGCCGGTCTGATCGTCGGAGGATACCACCCCCGGTACGGCGGCGAGGTCTACTCGATCCCCATGGGCGGATCGCTACACAAGGAGCCCTTCACCATCAGCGGTTCTGGATCGACGTACATCCGCGCGCTGTGCCAGAAGAACTGGAAGGAAAACATGGAGGAGTCCGAGGCCATTGACTTTGTCAAGACGAGCCTGCGCGAGGCCATCCGGTTCGACGGCAGCTCGGGCGGTGTGATCCGCGTGGCCGTCCTGACGGCCAGGGGGGTGGAGAGGTGGCTGTACACGCCTGATGACGAGTACCAGAAGCCGACGTCGGACAAGCCGCAAAGGGCTGTTGTCATTTAACGTCCCGAAGAAGAGAGGCAGATTAGAGGGAAAGAAAGGAAAGGGGTTGGGAGAAAGCTGAGCTGTGTTGTGGTGTAGATGATGATTATGCGGACGAGGACGGATACACACATACTCTCACAGGGGGTAAAGAAATAAAAACGAATCATGCCCATGTATTGAGTACGCGAGAGATAGTTTTCCAGAGCCAAAAAAAACCCCTGCACCCATGTAATCCCCAAGGACTTAAGCTGTAGGGACGTGTTCCGATAGCCATGGTGAAAGTGTCGTCATACTACGACTCATGTAGATGACCAACTCCCCCCCCCACCTTGACTCGGATGACCCCCTCCCCCACTGACCACTGGCCACGGGAAGGATAGAGGGAGTGTGATTGGTGAGAGGGATATTGGTATATTGGTAGGTGTCGATGCAGGATATGCTCTCCTCATGCTTGGTATCAGTGGTAGGGAAGACGGAGAGAGAATGTACATACATCACCACAGGTTCATGGACGACGTGAATATACGGTGGAGAGTGATGCTCGGCAAGTATCATTACAGAAAGGAAGCAGCTATTATTACTGCTACTTGCTATTACCTACTACTACCGCTACTTACTACTATTACTACTACTATTACTACTATTACTACCACTACCCTGTTTTCAATCTCCGTAAAAAAAAAAATCCTGATAAAAAGAAAAGCTGCAGCAGGCCACAGACTTGGAGGTAACATGGTAATAATACTACCACTATGAATAGTCCAGAGACCGATAAGAGATGCAGCTGGGGAGCACGTGGGCAGGGGCTTGGCTAACATACGAGAGAGGAAGAGAGAAACCTCCTACTCCCCCCCCTCCTAGCTGTGCTGAGGGTATTATGATTACGAGGATAATCTCAAGTATTGCAGTTTGTCTTTTTTTCCTCACCATCTTCTCAGACTCTCTATCTGCATAATGTGAAAGTGAAGAAGAGAGAAAAAAAGAAGTAGAGACTATCATGGATGCCAATCATATATCACTGTCTAGTATTATTAAATCACGGGTTATTACGACCCAACCCAACCAACCCATCGATAAAATCAATCAACCCCTGTTTCCCTCCCCGCCTCTATCCCCTCACTGCTCCTCCCCTCCTCCTTCTCCATCCAAAACCTTTGCCTAAAAGAGGGATAGAGACAGCTTCGCCCACATTGTGGACTCACTCCTCTTCTTGACGCCAGACGGAGAAGCAGAAAAGAGCAGAACATCTTGCTCTGTTTGCCTTTCCCCTCTCTAGAAAGCTCTCGGATAGTACCTCGTGCGTGCATCTGTGAGCGTGTTAGGTAACCCTCCTGATCATCTGGTCTCCCCCATTTACACTATTCCTTCTTTCCCTCCTTTCCCCTCCTCATCGTCACGCCTCCTCCGCCCCCCCTCCTCCTTCGCACATCGTCCCTCACTATTCCCTGTTAAAAACGAGGGAATTCGGGATTACCGGGATAAGAAAGAGAGAGAACGATCAGTTGTTTACCTTGCTATTTTTTCATCACCTCCTCGTTTTTGTTGGTCCTCCCAGTCTGTAGTGAGATTGGACTACGCTTTAGTATCTGCAAGTATTACATACTTCCATTCAAGGAAGGAAGGGGGGAAACCATCTATCCCGCCCGGCGGTGTCTTTCTTCTTCTTCTTCCTCTTGCTTCGTCTCCTCTCTGTTCCATATCCCGTAAGTCCATCTTTATTCTTCTCATCTGTTTGTTTGCCTGTTTGTCCGTGGTCATCGTCCCCCCTCCCTTCTCGTCCCCCCCCCCCAGCAGCCTTGCATGCTGGTCGTGTAATTTGCTGTAATAGCTGGTGTCGGGTTGCCTCTACCTATACGCCACCACCCCTCCCCCTCCCCCTCATTTTCGATACACGCACTCCCTTGTCTCCTTGGGATTGCAAGAGCAGAGAGGTAGAGATATCGAGAAAGGTAGAGATATCGAGAGAGAGAGAAAGCGAGAGAAAGAAAGAGAGAGAGAAAGAGAGACAGAGAAAGAGAGAGAGAGAGAGAGAGAGAGAGAGAGGATGATTAGAGAAAAAGGAAAAAAGAAAGAATCTTGAATTATTCGGGACTTCACCTTGGTCTTCATCATCGGAAGGAGCAACCTAAAACTAGCGTTGCTCTTTCCCTCTCTGGTCAGCAGCTCCATACGCCACGACACCGATAAACTCTTGGTTGTTGCATCACCGCTGCATGTCCCTCTTTCTTTCTCCTCCTTCTACTTCTTCTCTCTCATTCCCTCCATCTCGATAACGCATCCCCTCTGCACGCTCTCCCATCTGTTCAACTACCAGTCTTTTTTTGTTGTCTCTGTTGTTATTGTTATTGTTGTTGTTGTTGTTGTCGTTGTTGTTCTGTCATCTATTATCAAATCTAGTTTTGCATACTGTCCGGCGACAACATTCTTCATCTTTTTTTTTTTCTTTTTTTCCTGCCCCTTCCCTCGACTTCCGGGTTTCAACTGTGCGACGCCACATACACATTTGCCCCTCCTCACCACAACTGTGACGACGACGACATCATCAACCACGAGTCACTTCAAGCCGAATTGATACTTATCCAGACTCTTCTTCAGAAAAACGAACACGTAAAACACGCGCGCTCTCCTTCCTCTCTCCTTCTTTCTTCCCTTTTCGCATCTAGCCACCGGCCCTCCCAGCGCCTGCTGCCCCGCATCGCCATCCTCAGCTCCTCCTCCTGTCCGCCGTGTTGTGCTGACCGCGACACGATTCGGCACAGCCTTCGGTCTCCTCCAGAACGCTTCCTTGGTAGAATGCTATGGCTGCTGTAATTGGCGAATATACCCCCGATACCTCGCGATCCCACGCCATGATTGCGAGCCCTTCGCTCCAGAGCCATCAGCACCACCTTCACCACCCTCACTCTCGCGACGCTTCTCCTCCCTACATTTCCACCACCGCTACCGCGCATACCAGGCCGTCGCTGTCGTCGCGTGCTGCCACGTCTCCTCCCCCCTCCTCCTCCTCCACCACCACCACCACCACCACCTCCTCCTCCTCCTCGGCACCCCCCGACCACAACGGCCGTCATATCGACCCCGCCCACTCACAGCCGGTCGACCCTTCGCCACGTCTTGTCAGGCTCGCCTCCAAGATCCCCTCCCCACCCGACTCTTCTCCGGCTGCCTTCTCCCGATCCTGCCCCGCTGAACATGCCAGGAGTGAGTCTATGGCTTCTGATATGGTAACCGCGTCTGTCGCCCCCGCCCACCATGTTCCCACGCCGTCCTCGGCGACGACAGCGCCCACACTGCTCTCGTCGTCTTCCTCCGCATCAGGGAACCACCCGTCGGTGCAGACTCAGCAGCAGCAGCCGATATCGCCGGCGCCAGACCACTCTGCGACGGCTTCACAGTCTCAAGTGCCGAGGCAGACGGTAGTCCATGTCCGCGACTTGGCACACGTCAAGAGCCTGGCTCAGTCGGACATGCACCCCGACGCCCAGCTCCAGCAGCAGGTCAAGTACGACATCAGCGGCATGCCTATTGGCGACATCATCGATATGGTGGCCGCTCTGCTGACCAAGATCACCTCGACCAACGATCTGCAGCACGACGCCATGCAGCGTAACGCCGCTCACCAGCAGCAGGCCAACCAGTCGAGCGAAACGACGGGCGGCAATCAGATGAGCCCCATGAGCCATTCGGTACTCGCCTTTCACGGAAAGAACGTGCCCGCCATCACAATTCTGAGCTACCTCTCGCGCATATACAAGTACTGCCCCACCACCTTTGAGGTGTTTCTCAGCCTCCTCGTCTATTTTGATCGCATGACGGAGCGCGTGAACGACCTCGTCTCCAAGAGCGAAGATGCTCGCAAAGCAGCAGCGGCGGCAGCAGCAGCGGCGGCGGCGGCGGCGGCGGCGGCGGCTCCTTCATCACGTCCCCATTCCCAGCTCCGCGCATCACAAGCGGGCTCGGATCCGCGCCATCAAGACCGTGACTCGGATGTCGCCATGCGCGACAGCGTCGCTTCGTCAACGACATCGGACGACTCGGATCTGGCTGACGATGACGACGGCGACGACGACGACGACGACGACGACGACGACGACGAATTGACTAGTAGCAACGCCAGTCGCCGACCTAGCGACCGCGTCATAACCGTACCCGAGGAGCTACCCTCTGTGTATGGGCCATCGACTTACTTTGTCGTCGATAGCTTCAATATTCACCGTCTGATAATTGCTGGGGTTACATGCTCTAGCAAGTTCTTCTCGGACGTGTTTTATACCAATTCGAGATATGCCAAGGTGTGTTGTACACCACCCCTCCCCTTTTCTTTCGCTCGCCTCTTGTTTCCCAGTCGTCCCGTTGCTCCCATCCCTCGACCATTCGCTGACACTCCGAAAAAGGTCGGAGGTCTACCCCTCGCCGAACTCAACCATCTCGAGCTGCAGTTCCTCATCCTCAATGACTTTAGACTTGCCGTTCCCGTCGAGGGCCTGGAAGCCTACGCCACGATGCTCGTCGAGTTCTACACCCGCGAAGTCGTCTGTCAGACATGACACTGCGCACTGTGTGTGACATTGAAATAGCCCTGGATGCTGTCTACAAGGATGTACAGCCATCCGCACAATCTCACGCTCACCCGCACCCCCCCCTTGAGCCTCATGATAACAGCCCGGGGTGACGGGGACTCGCCATCTGGCAAGTCTGGTACCTCACCGACCCGCGAGTTGTACGACGCCAAGAATACAGCTCGAGACTTGGAATTCTTCGAAGCATCCTAGCCGGCCAGATTTATCTTTCTTTTGGAGTACAGCCTGAAACATTGCTGTCTGTTTAGCACTTGTTTACGCCTTTCTTTCTCTTTTCGCACGGGCAAGTATTTTTTTCCCGTCCTCGTCTTACCGTTGGAAGGTATAGAAATGATATAGAAGTAGGATGGGGGGGTGGGGGGTTGGTGGGACAACAGAACCCCCGGGACTTTTTTCTATTTTTACCCGCACTCATTTTTTCATACACGCATATTATTGCTGGTACTATTTCCTTGAAAGGGTTGTGCTCGAGAGTTTGGGCGTCAGGGACGGAGGATAAAGGGAAAAGGGTCAGATGGGAGGGAACGAACTCGAGGATGGGCGCCGGTAGATGCTTTTCTTCTCTTCTTCTTCGCTTTTCGCTCTTCTTTCGTTTGATGTAAGGGGGTTCCAGGTTTCTAGGTCTTCAAGGTTCTTTCTCCTTTCAGGTTTTCTTCACTGTTCAAGATGAGATGAAATGTTGAAATAGATTAACAGAAAAGGAATTCTATTATACATATACATATACATACATATATATATATATATATATATATATACGTGTTTTTTTTTTGTTTTGTTTGTTATCGTGGCTTTGAAAAATTCATGACTCTAGACTTGTATGCCTCTTCTTTCTCTCTCTCTTCTTCCTTCAAAAAGACTGAACACACAGTTATACCCTGTACATGCTCTTGGCACCTACCGCTGCCTTTATAGGCTTGCCAGTCGACGTTGACGTTGATGCAGTATCAAAGACTGCGTCGAATACTCTCTCCAACCTGGACAGCACCTCTTCGCCATTCTGGGCAGTCTGATAATTCAGCACCAGACGGCCGGGACCGAGGGCCAGACCGAAACGCTCACCTAACTTGACGAAATGGTCCGGGGGGCAGCGTGCGGCGTCCAGGTCTAGCCAGCACATGTTTGTCTGGACGGGGTAGATGAGCCGGCCGCCCCTCGAGGTCCAGATAGATTCCACGTCTCGCGCCAGGGAGTGGGCGAGCGGTAGTAGATGGACGGCCTCGTCCACGGCGACGCGGCCGGCGGCCGTGAGAAGGCCGGGCTGACGTAGACCGCCGCCGATGGACTTGCGCACCCACCGGGAGTGGGATATGGTCTTGGCGGGGCCGACGAGGACGCTGCCTACCGGGGCGCCGAGACCCTTGGACATGCACAGACTCAGCGTGTCGAAGAGGGACGAGTAGTCCGCCAGGGACCCGGCACCGGAGGCCACGGCCTCCCAGAGGCGGGCGCCGTCGCAGTGCATGGCTATGCCGCGGGCGCGGGCGAAGTCGGAGATGCGGCGCGTCTCGGAGAGGGGCATGACCATGCCGTTGAGCGTGTTCTCCAGGCTTATGACGCGCGTGGGACACGAGTGCACGTCGTTGTCCAGCACGGCCCGGGCGGCAACGTCCTCCAGGGTGAGGTACATCCCATTCTTGGGGGTCACGGCCTGCAGCATGGCGCCGCAGAGGGATGCCACTCTTGGGAGGGTGTCAGCATTTCACGTGGGACACGTAGCTGTGCATGTATCGTGGGGAGACCGACCCTCCAGCTTCGTAGTGGAAGATGTGCGAGTTCTCGTCGCACAAGACCCCGTGCGGAGGCTGCCTGAGGTGGCTTCGCAGAGCGAGCTGGTTGCCCATCGTGCCCGAGAGGACGAACAGGCCAGCCTCCTTGCCTGCGAGGCCGGCGACGTGCGCCTCGAGATCCGACGTTGTCGTGTCTTCCTGAAAGACGTCATCGCGCATAGAGCACGTCCGGATTGCCGACAGCATGGATGGAGTTGGGGTGGTCATGACATCGCCTACTTCCAGATCAGCATCGTAATTATACATCCATTGAACCCCCCCCCCCCCTTCTTTCCTTCCTTCTTTCTTCTACCCTCCTCACCCGCCAAATCACCGACCTCACGATAGACACCACCATGTCATTATCCGGTCGTCACCATCACTGCATACGTACTCCTCAGGTCGAACCCGCCGGGACCCTTGTGACCGACCCAGGAATTGCCAGGACCAGGTGACGATGATGATGCTCGGTGTTGTTGTAATAGTGGACTCGAAATTAGACTCGGCTTCCAGAACGTTTGGGTCCTGCCAGCCAGTCTGGCGATGCGGAGTGGCTGCATGATGATTGTCGGCTTAGCAGGTGGTGGTGAGATGCGACCTGTCGTGTGATATTGCTAATATCGATACGACATTCAATATCTTATTGTGCATCTCTTTAACGATACTCTCTTCAAGCTTCTCTGTGATGGCCGACAGCGGGGTCGTTAATAATATTGTAGGTTGCTCCTTCCCGCACTCGGGCTCCTTCCCTGTGTAATAAATAATAATATTACTTTTTACCCCGCCGTTTCCCGATATGGAGGGAAGGAGCGGACACGGCTGCACGGGAAGATCAATTCCAACTCTCCTTCACCCTCAACAATTTGGAACTCACCTTATTGCAAAAGAAGAGAAGAAGACAATCAGACAATCACCACATCAAGACAGATACAGAAAACATTAAAAAAAAAACACAACAACTGGCGGCAAGTCAAGCCTCAAGACCCAATGGATCGTCACCTCGGCACCCCTTCGACGTCTTGTCCTTGTGCTCCTCACCACGTACGTATTTTCCTGCGTGATGCGCTGGCAATGCTGCAGAGGAACCCACACCACCACACACATACCACCCCTCCGCCTCCGCTTTTTCCTACACGGTTTAGGTATTACCTCCTCATCTCTGCTAGCCTATCCCCCCCCCCATCCGCCGGTATACCCAATCCGACTACACCGTTTCACTGCAAGTATTTCCCATGAGTTCGTACCCAATGTCTGTTCTCTCTCCCTCTCTCTTTCTCCCTCTCCCTCTCTGCTTCTATCCTTTGGCCAATATACAGCTGACGAGAAGAACGGGTTGAACGAAGCTGAAGCCAGACGTTATAGAACAGACAATGCGATGCCCAGGGTTGGTTCATATTCAAACAGGCGGGACGGACGGGTGAGAAAAAAGAGCGAGAGGAGAGGTATGGACGCCATCTGTTTCATTACCGGCAATTCCCTTCTTCTGCCAACACATCAACCCGTTCGTGGTGGCCCGTGTGCCGTCTGGTCTCTGGCTGCTTGGGGTTATTTCTATTCCTGGATGCAGGTCGCTTGCCAGCACAACATGCTTCTCCCTCTATCCCTTGTCACTGTTCCCTTGTTTCTATGGTTATTTCTCTCTCTCTCTCTCTCTCTCTCTTCTTCCTCCTCTTCCCACCGTCTCCTCTCTCTTTGCTCTCTTCATCCCTCTCTCAGACATAAACATATACATTGAATCGCCCTTTCCCTCATCTGGTTGTTGCCCTTCCGCGCACTTCTTTCTTTTCTCACCCTCCTTCCCCCAACCCCCTCCCTCTGCTCCCAGTCTAAAATCCCCGCCATATC